GTTTCACTCTGAGAAGTGAATACCATTGTCTTTTTCATACACATATACATATAAAATAGTACCCATTACAGTAGATACAGAGTTATATATGCGAGTGAATACCTTTTCCCTAGGACAGACGTGTCCGTATAACAACATAATTTAGGAATGAGATTATCTTTTTAGAATGGACTTCATCTGAACAGACTAATATGCCATTGAGCTTAGACATTGGCCCTTCGGGTGTCTGAAGTCTGACGCACTCTGGTAAAAGCTGCTCTCGTATTTCATTATATCGTGAACATCTGAACAATACATGGAATTCATTTTCTACATACTTTTCATCACACTGGAGGCAACGATTACTGTCGACAATACCCAACCGGAACAGATTATTTTTCAACGACAAACTGAAAGTTCTGAGTAATGCAAGGATCCTTCTACCTCTTGCAGAGATGGTGAATGAGAGGTACGGTGCAGGGCTTAACGTAGGGTGAAAGTCCAGGTACTCAGGATAAACGCCAGACACCCTAGAACGCCAGTCCTGGTGACTAATATTTATAAGTCTTTCCTTTACTTGAGATAGGAAAATATTCTTATCACCAACATTTTGAAAAATCCACGCATATCCAAACCCTATTGTACATAAAAGTTTCCTCATGTCAGTGGCCCAGCTGTACCGATTATTTTGGTCATGTGCATACGCTTGCAAATAGCATTTCTTAGCATACCTATTATTATCCATTACCAGTAATTTATACTAATATTTTATTGCTCGTAGATGATAAGTGGCATACAAATAATGACGTCCACATTCCCCCATTGCCAAAATGTTTGCGGACGTTCTACCAATGTTTAGGACGGCCTTGCAGAATTTAATGTGCACCTGCTCTATTTTATCATACTTCTTCACCCCCCATACTTCACAACCGTACAAAAGTAATGGCTTAATTTTGATGTCAAAAATGTTGAACAAAGTTTGGACATTCAAGTGCTCATATCTTTTACTTAGACATCTCACTCTGGACGTGAGCATTGTTGCTTTACAACATAAGTTTTCTATACATTTTGACCATAACAAGCGGGAAGAAAATATCACTCCTAGGTAGCTTATGTACGTGGTTACGTTTATGCTTTTCTTTTTGTAAAGCTCTTTAGCACGCCTCCATTTCTAAAAACAATCATCTTTGTCTTTTCCAAATTTACAGACAGTCCCCACTGGTTACAATACTTCTCCAAACAATTTATCTTCCTTTGCATGTCTACAATATTATCTGAAAATAAGCACATGTCATCTGCGTACATTAAATTGCGGGTTTGTTCATCATTGCTTAATAGCTCAACTCCTTTAACAACACTGTTTTTCAACATCAATTCAAATTCAGAAACATACATATTGAACAAAAGTGGGCTAAGAATACATCCTTGACGAACACCAGACAAGCAATTAAAATATTCCGTAATTTCATGCTGGCCAGTACGGACAGAGCACATAACTTCCGAGTACATACTTTGTAGTAATGTTAACATTTTCCCTCTCAAGCCTCTTTTCCTCAAGACTGCCCACAGTTTTTCATGGGGGACGCAGTCAAATGCTTTAGAAAAATCAACAAAAAGTACATAGAAGCGCCCACGTTTCTTTGAAAGGTACTTTTGGACTATTGATTGAAGCGAGAAGATATGATCGATAGTGCTATAACCTTTACGAAACCCTGCTTGCGATTCGGGAATTACATTGGTCTGCTCGGCCCATTCCGCTAGTCGTGAATGCAATATACTAGACATTATCTTGGATAATATATTTAGAAGTGCAATGCCCCTGTAGTTGTTTGCATCTGAAGGACTTCCTTTCTTGAGGATAGGATGTATTAGTGCTTGACACCAAATTTTTGGGTACGTCCCTGTGTTAAAAATGACATTAAACAACAAACAAAGGTATGTTATCAAAAGGACATGCATTAGAATAGAATTCAGGACCAATCCCGTCACATCCGCTAGCCTTTCCTTTCTTCAGTTTTCTCAGAACACTTTGAACTTCAGAAGTCCTTTTTTTTTTTTTTTTTTAAATTTTAAATAACCTCCTCACGAGTATTGATAGAGAGAGAGAGAGAGAGAGAGAGAGAGGGGGGGGGGGTGCCCCGGGGGGGGGGGGGATGGGGGTTGCCGAAGACCATGTCAAACAACCTATAGTGTTTAAAAACATGCGAGTTGAATTTGAGCTAACAATACAATGTATTGAATTTGAACTCTCTGTTGTTACAGATAGCGCTATTTTGATATTAGAGCTTCCTAGTGTTACATTTGATCTCTTTATTTTGACGTTTGAACTTTCTATGCCGAATTTGATTATACTATGTTGAATAAATTTTGCTATGCTTCATTTGAACGCTTTATTTTGATATTTAATTTGATCGGGAAAATGTGTAATACAATTTGGAATACTCCCCATTGTTCGATTGGAATGACCTTCACATTGCTCTAATTTACATAGATATAACTAGGCTTGAGTAACAGCAGTACAGGATGGATGATAAGGGTCTGATTGTTGTTGTCTTTTTATATATCAGTTTTAATTCTTTTTGCTTTTTAAAAATCTTCCCTATTATTCACACACTTTTTTGTGAGAGACACGTTCCTTGTGGGTTTTTTGTTACTCCTTACGATTTTGTTTCTAAAATTTGGAAATGACGAGTCTTCTCTTAGTCAAAGATAATACGTAACAAGATAGTTCTCTCGGCCAAAAAAGTGTTCTCGTAAGTTCAGATGTCGCTGCAGTCTTTGTTTTGAAGCCCTCTCTCGTTTCTCCAGATAAAGAATAGAAATAGCATCCCCTTGTGCAACAGCTGTTCCGGTTTGCTCGGTGCGGAGTTTTGGGTTTATTCTATTTCAATTAAAATTTGATGACCTCTTGCCTCTCGTTCTAAAGCCAAATTAAGCGAAGAAAACTGTCGCTCATTTCACCTGAAGAGGATTTTTGTCAGCGTAACCATTTAAAAAGGTGTTATTCCGATATTTTAATTATAATTTGTACAAAAACTTGTTAGTTTCACTTTGATTTTTTTGCCACAAAAGTATGGGCGCTGTTTCGAAGAGGGTGCCACCGGATTTTGAGGACACTTTTTGAATTGATTCAGAGAGAGAAGTGAACCATGTTGTTATACAGAGTCTTTGTCTTAGTTTTTAATGGACTTGCCCTTGAGTGCGTTCTTGTGGTAAATATAGGAAGTTCCCGTTTTATTACGTTTACTAATTTTTTAAAAATGTTATACATGTAGTTGGGTTGTTTTGTTTTGTTAGTTAGTTTGTTTGTTTCCTTCTTTCTTTCTTTTATGTTTTGTTGTTGTTGTTTGTTTGTTGTTGTTGTTTTGTTTTGTTGGGTTTTTTCGGGGGAGGGTGCTTGTGTCTAACCTAGTTTACTTGTCTTCGAATTTGGTATTGTTTTGATTTTCTGATTTGTCTGTTTATTAATCTATATTGTTTTATTGTATGTTTGTTCGTTTACTTAATTTGTTTTCTTCAATGAAAATGACATCTTGTCAAAATAATGTAGTTAATTCCTACACCACTAAGGTGGCACAAACTGCACAATACGACCACAGTACATGCACCGGTGGGGAGAATATATATCAACGGATAGGGTTAGGGACCATTCTTTAATGACGTCAGCTTTTTTCAGCCAATTTTTACCCCCTCCCCCCCCTCCTGTCAGCCTATAATCAGCTTTTGTTTGACCCCCCCCCCCCCCCCCCCAAGCTGAGGTCAGCTTTATTGATCAATAATATTTCTATCAATTGCACATTTGTTTCGTCAAGAATACCATCTAACACTACTAACAGTAACAGTTAGCTATAGAGACAACACAACAAAATGAATAATGCTAAATAGTTGTTGTTTATACTTATAGTGTTTAACTTTATTATTAAAAGATGAGATCATTGTATCATGCATGGTGGTAATGATGTTTCAAACGTGTCACAAAATAGAAAAGCTGGCATTGGGAAAAACTTTAATACCTAATATCCCCACATTGAAGAAATATGTTCAAAAATGTTGCGGTCAGGCAAATCTGGATCACTTTCCAATGTCCTCACTTCCTCATTCAACTCACCCTCACCATCACTTTCACTCTCACTCACTCTGCTTTCACTGTGGCCACTATCTGTGGTTTGTCTGAAACAAACCCTCATATGAGCATTCTTATGCTTGATAGTGGAGTGGTATTTGCCACAGCGAGAACAAGTTCTCTTCTGCAATTGTGTCATTCCTTTGGCATCAGGTTGGTTCAGAGAGGGGCAAAGCTGGTCAAAACAGTCTGTTTTAACAATCCTATTTATGTGCAGCGCCTGAAACAGGCTGCCAAAATGGCCCGACTTCTCAACCTTCAATCCCTCTGCACAGGCTTTGATAGGTACTGGGGGAGGCAAAAAGCGATCAGGAAAATACACTGCATAATTTGTCCTGAAAGGACGACAACATGAAGTATCCAAACACTTGACTATTTGGCACATGTACTGAGACTGTAACACATGGTCACTCTTCCATTTCTCATTCAGATCATCAGTCACCTCCTCACATACTTCAGACACAAACTTGGACACAACAGGGTACCCATCAATCCCTTCCTCATTAAAGACCTGAGAGAGTATTTCACCAGCAGCTTCAAAATTCTTTTTCTCCAATACGGGATCAATTGTTTTGTTTGATGCATTAAGATGACTGCCAAAAGAATCGAACGGCAAAATAATGCCTGCAGTCATCTTTGAAAGCGGAGCCATCCTCCTCTCAACTGGATTGTATGCACTTGAGCCTGGAGCATGTGAAAAAATAAAACATGCATCCAAGTTAAGTTGTTTGAAGGTAGCTGCTCACATTAAGAGAGTTCTGGTGTTTTTGGGGGCTTCATCAGGGCCACCATCAACAGAGATAAACACCAGAGGCTTTTACTGCGTCACCATTGGTGGAATGCTCTTTAAAACAATCCTCTGTCAAGATCTGCTGAAAGCCAGCCATGTGATTTTCAGCAGAACTTTTGTTGTGCTTGGCGCTGCGAATAGCCACGTATGTGGGCCCGCTATACCCAATATTTCCGTCTTTGCCTGGCAAACAACAGGCATAGACGGAAGGAATGAGTTTGTGATTCTCCCCGATCGGAAAGTCATGATCAGGGAGAGACACTTTATAGTGCAAATGCATTAGCATCAACGACTGCTTTTTGCTTATTGGCAGTCCAATAGGCACTCTAGCCTTGTCGTCTTGAGACCAAAAAAAAGACGTTGTCCCCACCAAACAAACTAGCCAACTCCTTTACATATTTAACACTGGCTGTGGCAAAGTGGCCATCAACATGAGGCTTTCTTTGATTATTTTGTGGTCGACAAAGTTTAATATTGACCGTGCTAAAATGATGTTTACCATCGATGCTCCTGACATTTGCAGGAATGAGCCTATAATACAGTGCAGAACGCGACAAGATGTAACCTCTCTCTTCTAAAGCACCTTTTAAATCATCTAAAGTTTTTATGGTGTTCATCGTTTCTGTCCTTCGGCGCTCATCAGCAGCCCCTTCCGGCACAACAATACTATATATTGCTTCTGCAAGGCCCTCCATATTCTCTTCCAGTCTAGGTTTCCCATGTGTATGTTTGATTTTCTCCCCTGCCTCATTCAATAAACTTTCAAGTTTTGCCACCTTTTTCCTCCTTGCAGTTGCCTGTGCTTTGGCATCAGTCAACTTTCTTTTTAACTTCTTTTCTAGTTCTTCTTTTTCTTTTTCACTACTTTTTAGGGTTTTTTTCAGGTCTGTACTCAATCCACATGATGATTTAATGTTCATTATGTACAAAATTTCTGAATTTATTCTGCTAAGTTCTTTCTTGATTTGATCCTGTGCAGGCGTTTTGGTTGGCTGCTTTCTCTCTGAAGGCCCAGGTTCACTTGGTTCAGTGCTGATCCCAAAGGCATCACTTACTTCTGTCGATGGCTGTTTGGGTTGATCACGCAGTTCTAAATAAGAAAAAGTGTAAACGAAAAATCTCAATTGTATGCACTTTTTAAAAGCAAAAAGCAAAAGTAACCAAATAAATGTATCTGAGGCAGGTGTGTTCTACTGTGTAAAATTTTTTTTTTTTTAAGTGTCTAAATATAGGCTTATATAAGTACACCCTCCCCCACCCCCCAATCCCTTTCTTATTATTAGGCTACTATTCAGCCCATCTGAATTTACATTATGGTTAGGTTGTGGTAAGCAGCCACCCCGCCTCTTTTATTTAGAAGTACTAATTCTGGTCAATAGCTGTCTGGATTATTCACTGGCTTCTGATATTGGGTAGTGAAATATAAAACAACCATACCCATACACGAAAATACTAACCTATTCCAGGCACCTCCACTGGCGTATTCCTCTCTGCACTTCTTTCAATGATGGTTTCCTCTTCTGGGAGCTTCTGTTCAGGTCTTTGGTGTCCTATTTCACTGCTGGTCTTCCCCATGTCAAAATCACTTGTTGCATGTCTAGGCTGATCACTGCTTGCTGAAATTGAAAAACAAAAATATGTTAAGTGCAATGTATAGACAGCACGCGCCTGCTGATCAACACTGCTTTGAACAACGACAGATGCCAAGGAAAAAAAATTACTTTAAAAGTGACAACAAATTTAGACTAATTTAAGTTCAAAAGCTTTGGAGGGGGGAATCATTCTGGTATATTGCAGATTACTATCATCAAACACTAGACCTTCAATTTATATTGCTAAAATTCTAACCTGCTTCGGGCTCATCAACTGTCTCCTTCCTCTCAGCAGTCATTGAGTCTCTTGTTTCAATACAGGTTCCCTCTACTGACA